TCCATAAAAATTAATAAAATTACTGTCCCTTATCCTTTACATCCCTCTGTGATTCACCATTTGTTTCCACTTTCTGGAGGCTTCTTTCTCAAATTTCAATCCATTAGAGAGATGGTGATTTAGCCATGTTGATAGCTATGCTTCCTATCATTTCTCTGCCTGAAAATTTGTGCTTGTGCCCTTTGTGGCCATTCAGGCACAGAATTCAACATCAATGTAAAATTAAAATTTCTACTATACAGGTCAAATACCTCTTAGATAAACAATAACAGCTGTCTAGAATTTATTGTCCATACCACAACTCAACTGACTGATCAAATCTTGATCACATCATTTCCCCTCTAAAAAATACTTTGAGGAAGGCCACTAGCAGCCAAGTATCTCCCAAGAAATACACAATGCAGGTGCCCCATCCCATGGAAGCCTCGTCCATTCATCACTGACATTCTTTCCACTGCTGCCATTGGCCTCTCTTAAGCAGAGAGAAGCCACATTTGTACTACAAAAGCTGATGGCTGGTATGAAACCACCGTCTCTTTGCCACCGTCAGGCTGTCTGTGGCATTTGGACTCGGGTGTAAACCACCAGAAAAACAGCCCAACTCACCCAGACTCTGACAAAAATTAACTTTAGCGAATTATTAAATGAAGGCCTCTTAAAATGACAATTACATGCATTCCTTCCCACTCCTCAGTTCTTCTCCTGATCTTTTCAAACACAAAGATTCACTTTTGGTGCTGGCAGACAGCCTGACTGGAGAAATTCAGGAAACTTCATTTCTTACCAGGAGACAGCCGCTCACACAACTTGCAGCTCCAGACAGATTCGTGACCCGACTTGTGCTGCATCTTTGGCACTGCACCCCAGTTTGCCACCCTGGGGGCTCCCCCTGGGAACTTCCCACCACAAGCAATAAAACTCCTGATGCAGCTTGGGAACACACCGTGCTCCTTGCCCCAGCTTTGGTCCATAAACAGTTTATTGCTTATTTTGCTTATCTATATAGCCTAGTGATGAGAACTGTGCAAAATACTTGCCCTAAACTCACGTGAAGCCTGCCTTTGAGTCCAGACTTTGGGCAAATATTACAAAAAGCACTGGAAGATTTTCCTTCAGTTCTGCATATGCTCAGTTTATATTTCTAGAATTGAAGTTTCCTAGAAAGATGTCAGGATAATTTTCAAGGAAAGATAATTTTGAAGTTCTGCTGGTAAACTTGTCAGAAACCTAACTTCATGTTTGCAAGGGAATGCTTTTGGCTTCTACAATCATGGAAGTGACACAATGCAATTATATGATCTTTCTGAATTACCTGATCAAGTGCAACAAGGGTGGGGCTTGAATAGCAAATACCAACTCTGTTTGCCAAAATGAGGCATTTTCAAAGAACTAATACATCTGGAGAAATCACACTGCTTATTCATGTGGTCCCTACAAGCAGAAAAGGAGCTGAATTCATTAGCTGAGTAGTAACTGCTGTACAGTTTAGCACAGCTCTACTAGGCAAAGCACTGGGTGACTGACAGTCCAGACCCAATAGGAATTCGTACTGACAAAGGTTCAGCAACTACTGGGCAAAGTTGTTTATGAGACAGCAAATATCTCACTTTTCTTCTTCACAGGCAGTCTTCCACAACATATAGAGAGAACTAAGATCTTTAGGCGATTTCTTAGTAATGAAGATGACTTTATGTAGGTAACCTGGGAAAAATTTTACAGGGATTATGTGGAACTTGATGGGGATTTGCAAATAAAGGGGTCCCATTTCATGGACAGGCACATTCAAGAGACTGAGGTTTGCGGAGAGACTTTTCCCTGGAAGAAGATCAAAGTTGTCACACTTTAATCTTAAAGACGTGACAGGTCTAATTCCAGGCCCTTTGAAATACTACATTCAGCCCAAGTAAATGCACTCTACTGTACCCTTTATAAGAAAAAATTAATTCCCTACTGCCTCTGCAGATCAACTCAGAATGACAAACTTTTTGTAGGGCACCGCACAGGTGCCTTTTTGGGTATGTCCTCACAATGCTTGCTTAGTGTCAACTATGACAAATATAAAATCTTATAAAGTTCCAAATCATAGCCACAGAACAGAAGTTTCTGCAGACTTTACTGAAGATCCACAAACGCAACTTAACTTGTCTTTTAATAAGCATTTCTAGCTCCCAGGTCATATGGTTAGGACAGAAAGTTAATGAATACAGTTTTAACTTTGTAAACTCAAGAAGAGCAATATAGAAGTGGAAAAAGGAATTCCAGTCTTTCACAAGGCAGAGCAAGACAAATTGCAGTTGGAAACCTCCCACTTGGGAATTGCAAAACAACATGGATGAATAAATAGGTTGAAGTGTGCATACATCAGGATACCAAGCAAGTTATTTGCATCTGATGAGTCCAGGAAATATCTGTAAGAAAGGATGGACAGGCAGATCTCTCTCAGGCTGCTTCCAACTCAGCTAGTCAATCTACACCATATGCAGATTACCTAAACTGCTCCTGGTACGTCTGCATCACCCGTCGGCACAGTCTCCATTAGAGATTCAGGCGTTAGCTCTGAGCAGGCTTGTAAGCCAATACAGCACACAGTGAAATACTAGCTTAGGTCTTGGAAGCAATACAGATGTCTTATTTAGCCTATACTCATTTATTTGCTTGCCTCTACCTCCCTGAAGCAGCTTCTCCCCTTAATATCTTTTCAAAATAACAACCTCCTCTCCCTAAAACAAAACAAAAAGTCCACATGAAACATCTGCAGATAACATATTAATGTACTTTAGAGGCTGATGAAGAAATACAGCTCTATTAAAGGAATGGGAGAATCCCCGAACTTTTGTTGCAAAATTGGAACTTTCATTAAGCTTCTGTAAATATACAGTGGTTGTACATTCTTAAAGAGTTTGAATCAAATGGTTTTATAAAACTACTCAGGATTTTGGTTATATAAATATGCTACTTGTTATTTGTATTTGCTCTGGTCCATTTCCATATGAATAGTGGAAAGTATGGCAATGTATTTACTGTTAGACAACTTGTAAGCAACTGTGCATATTATTTTCCTTTGCCTATCTCTGCTTTCAATTCATAAACATTTGAAATTATACTGAAGGCAAAAAAATATAATGGATGGAAGCTATGCTGCTGGAAACAGAAAGGGGTGGCAAAACTAAGCTCTCCAAAGCAATCTAATGCACTGCACTGAACATCTATGTCTGTTGTAAGACGAGTAACGTGGCAAACACTACCTGCAAACTGAAAATTATTATCAAATCCCATCCACATTTGTACCATGAAGCCTGACAGAGAAAATAGAGTTTTGACTGAGTATTTATAGCAGGCTAAACCAGAAGAACCTCTCACAAACCGCAGACACAGAAAGAAACGTTCAATTTGAGATGACACATGGGACCCTTCACATTTGCTAATTCCCTGTGATTGAAATTGCGTAGTCTGATTTAATTCCACCAGAGGCTTACATTTAATGCCTTTATTAATTAGAAAGACTAATACATTTAAAAATGCAAGCATTCAGCAGTCTCACAAGGGTATGCCACACCTTCACTGTTGAGGAATGGGACAAATTCCCATATCACTGTTTGTTTCTGGGCGCAGCACTGCATTTTCAGTTGCGCTGAATGGGAAATCCCTGATAGCGAGATGATGCCCTTTGTTTTGCTCTTGTTCTCTAGTTTGCTCTTGAGGCAAAAGGCACTGTAACTTCCTACAGTCACTCGGCATCATGCACGCAGGTAATGCAACGCAATAGCCGTCAGTCACATCTCTATCTTCTGTATGGCTACTCTCAGTCTTGATTTTAGGATAAATTGGGATAGGCAAAAGAGGTGCACAAGATTGCACTGAAGAAACCAAAGGGGAAACCTAGAACTTACAGAATTTAATGGAATGGAACAAAAAATTAAGAAGCTTAAAAAAAAAATAATCACATTTTCACAGCTATGATTTTGCACTGAAAATATTGTACAGGGTGATATTTCTGATACGCGTTTCTTTCTTGAGCAGAGACATTTGGTATGGTATTTTGATCCTCTCAGACTTTTTTGTTACTTTCAGACACTCACAGTCCCCAGTGCAAACAGATAATTTTTTTTTTCCAAAGAAGCAGGCTTTAACCAGGACTCAGTTAACCTCTCTGAGACTTTCAGTTGGAAAGTGAAGTAAGTGTTACTGACCCAATTAGTTTGTGCATCTGGTTTTGTTTTTTTGTTTTTTTTGGAGGTGGGGTTTTTTTGTTGTTGTTAGTTTGGGGTTTTGTTTTTTTGTTGTTTGTTGTTTGTTTTGGTTTGTTTTTTTTTTTCCTTCTGTTCTGTTCCTAGTTAGAGATTTCTGACTAGTTAATTCTGTACAGTTTCCTTCTCCCACAATTTCTACAGAAAATTCTCACGCTGTCCTGTTGTCCTTTCTTGTCACTGGAATATGATCTGATTTCCAGGTGCCTCTCTCCCCTCTCTTCCTTCTCCTCTACATTCAAACTGGATCAGAATAAAAGCAGCCTGTCAGTTGACCCCGATTACAATGCAAAAACTGTACGAGGTAGACTGAAAGAGGATGTGTATGTCCTGACCCAGAGATACCACCTTGCAGGGAAAAGTACGCAATAAAGTATCTGTAGCAGCCAGTTCAAGTTTCCCTTTTCTCAGTTTTAAAAACACGGATGCCATTAATACCTCTGCTCAGGTGTTCACCATGGAGTTCTGTTAAATCACAGAGCCGGATTCAAATTCATTTCTCCTTCACCCTGGGATTTCTTTTTTGCAGACTGGCACACGTACCCAATAAGCAGCGCATGTGAGACGCGAGATCTCGGGGTCTACAGCAGCGGCTGTCACGTTCAGAGGAGGGACAGAAATGCACATGCCTCGTAAAAAGCAGCGTACGACTTGCTACCACTCAGCAGCACCATTTAAATGTAATTCCGTTAAAAGCAGGAGAGAACAAGCCTCGTGTCTGCACGGGCTGGCAGCAGCCCCGTGTGCGCTTACCTCAGCCCGCCGTTTGGCTCTTCATCCGAGGAGAAGGTGCCGTTGCAGACGTTGCCGAAGGAGTGGCTGGGCTTCAGTTTGGCTTCCTCGCCGTCTGACACGGGCTCTCTTTTCTTCCTCCTGCCGAAGAGCTTCTTGAAAGGCTGGAATTTGCCTGCTTTTTTCTTGTCTGCGGATTACAAGACACAGAGGCGCAGGGCTGAGGGACGCGGCTCGCCAGCACTCACCGCGGCAGCAGGTTCAAAGGAAGAATGAGGTCAAAGAGCAAGTCACCAGCCCGAAGCAGCCTGGCGCTTGCAATGTAAATGCAGGGCTGCAACCCGCTGTTGACGTGTCATATCGACAAAGCAAAGGTAAGAGCATCAAAACAGCTGCTCTTGGGTTTAAGGCTCTGCTTGGAGGTGTCGGCGCAGCCGAACATTTGGATGAAGAGAAAGGATAATTTTGCAGAGCCAGAATACAACACTGAGGCTTGCTTTTAAGCTTTAGACCACCCTTTTGACCTTTTCACACCAAAAGACAACCATTGCTTTGGTCATCCCACTTTGGCAGGTGCTGGAACCTCTGCCCTGAATTAAAAGCAATTGAAAATAACCAGCTGTATTTTACTTACGTAGCCTCATAACTAGACAAGTCAATTTACAAATGAACGAAGAGAACAGGATAAAGTTCTGTTGGTTTGCTGGTGGGTTACTTCAATAAACATCCAGCTTTATAGAAGCAAAGTCAATACATTTTTCTGAGGTTTTTTCCCCAAGTAACTGAGGACAGAATTTGACCAAGCATTTCTTCCTTGAGATGCTTAAATTTTAAAAGCTCCATCAAAAAAAAAAGCACAGCAAAAAGACAAAACAGACATGAAGACAGGAACAAGAAATTTAAAAAAAAGTTAACCAGAAAAGTAACTTTTTTTCCACCAAAGACTGATGAAAAGAAAGGTAGCCTCAAACTGTTTTCCCAACATCTACTAAAAAGAATTACCAAGAGTTTCTTGTTAACCACTGCCAAGAAAGGGTTAACTTCTCAGGTCTGGGATGCACCAAAGAATTTCTAAAACATCATAACTGTCAAAGAGCTTAATTTCTTTTCTGTCTCTACTTAATTTTGCATTGAATCTACTTAAAACAAACTAGTTTGGTTTGGGGTTTTTTTCAACCCAACTTTTAGCTTCCAATCATAATCCAGTTTAAGAAGCACCATGTACTGGTGACAAATATTTCCATAAGCTATTTAAATCCCTATATGTGCTTTTCTCCCAGGCTGCATGCATATGCACTGCCTCAGCACGCTCTGCTCGCCCCATAAGCTGTTGCTCAGCAGAAAGCAGCAGCTTGGTTGCAAAGTACAGGGAGGCCCCCATAGGAATGCTTGACCAGGAAACATGACAAATCTTCTGTAGTGCAATAGTACTCTTCAATACCACATCAGGTTTTACACTCCGCTCTGCTATACCGGTGTATGGCAAAGCCGCATCTGCTAACACTCCTCCGTAGCTGCTGGAGGCATAACTGCAGGGTATTTAGAGAGAGAAAATGCACCCAAGGACATTGCAATCTGGCTATTTCCAGCGACAAGTAATTTCCAAACTAGCATGGTGCCAGGGAGCCTGAGCTGAATCCAAGTGTGGGATCAAACTTACGCAAAGAGCAAGAAAGCTGCAACTCTTTGTGAATCTATCTGTACCTGATAATGGATGAAGCAGGAAACCTAGACTGGAATTATAAAGTCAAAGCTGCAACAGATAGTAATTCTGCATTTCCTCTACAGATCCCTAAAGTTTACACAGCTATCATTCTTCTCATTGGGCAGTCAAGATACTCAGCATTTGTACAACTTCATTAAGACAACGTAGCATCCCAGTAGCAGCATACAGATAAAAAGCTGAATTGTGAACCTCAAGTTCAGGCCCAGCACTAGAATTTTTCAATTCTGAAGTGGTGACTCACAATGAATAGATGAGAAAAACAACCACCACTGATGCAGCAGTTTTACCAGTGTAGAAGAAAAAGGGGCACAGAAGTTTACTCTCTCTGTCCCCTAGCTCTGCTTTCCATGAACTGACCAACTCCCATCTCCAGCCAGACCAATTGCTTCCTGCTCAATTCTGACCTTAAAGAAATATATTCTTAGATGAAACCCCTAACAGACAGGCAGGCAGTCATGCAGAGAAAGAGAGAAATTATCACTCTAGGCCAGAGCTGCTCCAACAGTTCATGCACCTGAGACTGCCTGCAAAAACTCTAAATCAAACGGTAGAGCATACAGGAGAGAAAGCATCAGTACCAGACACAAGACTGGTTGAAAGAGCTGTTCTTTCACAGTTCCCACCTCTCCTGCTTCCTCAACCTTTTTGAAAGGGAAGGCTGTCTGATGCCATTTCTGCTGGTTAATGTAATTTACTGCATAAATCAATTAAACTACAGTGATTTTCAAAAAAAGGTTCTCACTGTGTCATTCATCCACTTTACCCTTGTCCCCTCCTCTTTTGGAGGTCTTCAGATAGAACTGTGAATTACCTCATCAACTCTAAATCTACTGTACTGATTCACCAACTATGAATCTAGGTGTTGAACAAATAAGGCAGGTCAACACAGCTTTCATTTCATCAAAATGGGTGAAAGCCAACATGGTTATCTTCAGCCAAGATCTGCTTTTCTCCATGTGATTTAATGTGTCCCTTAGCTGTTTCCCCACTCCATACCCCAAGCATCACAGTTGTCACATTACTAAGTGCAAATTCTTTAAAGCAGCCTTCGTGACTCACTGCAAAACTAACGAACACCCTTCCCTGAACAGACTGCACACGCTATTCCCCATTCTGCCAGCTCAGAGATAAGGAGCAGCCAGCCCTTCCAGGCTTCTAAGGAGGCAACGCCTGACCGCTAAGGCAAAGTCTATTTATGTAAATTTTCCACAAAATCTTATGGAGGAAGATGTGGGATGATATCACCTACAGGGTAAAATGCTTCCTGTAACAGTAAAACAAGTACAAAAAGGAATCGAAACATTGGCAACGCAACAGACAACACCCTGCACAAAAGCCTTCCCAGTCTCTATGGCTAGAGTTCAAACATGACTCATTTCTCCTACCTATCTGTACCGCCGAAAGAAAAAAAAATGGGATAGGAAAGGCTGAAGGTTGGAACATACAATGCTGTTGACTGGTGTCAAGGACAATTGCTGAGATAGCAGGGAAACAAGCCTGCTTACACAGGCCATTTGCTTCTCTCCTTAGTCACTCAAATGGGAATCCTACAGATCCAGCCCCAGGAGAACATGGGAAACCAGCAATTAAACCTTTTTTTCCCATCTGTTTGACAAGCCTCTCTTGTTCAAATCACTGTAAACAGTTAACAGTAAATCACTTTTGAATCACATTAAAACATGAGGTGTGAAGGCGACAGATAAACAAGGTTGGATATGCTAGCTAGAATAACACAGCACATATGGTAAACGCTCCCTTCTCAGCTTATTCCAGAAGAGTAGCAGAGCAGATTAGAATAATCTTTAACCTGTCATATAATTTGTCAGCTGCATGAAGACAGGCAGTGCCTAACAGAGAGCCAGTTAAAGCAGAGAGCATCAGCATCATGAAGGCAGCACATGATTCCTCTGCTCTCAGTGACAGAGGGGAGACTGATCAGAGCAGCTACTCCTCTCACACTCTCTTTCACTCAGCGGTGCTCTCCAAGAAAGATGAAGGCTGGTGCAATGGGTTTTACGGGTAGTAAATCAGGCACAGCCTTTGGACTCCAGCTGGGAAAGTCTTAGCAACGCATCAGCTGACAAATCCCCATAAAAGAGCTTGTAGTTAAACTGCTCAAATGTCACCCAAATCCATTGGGATTCCAAAGCTGTGATGCCTTTCAAAAACTGCACGGAGTCCTTAACATGAGCACAGGTCAAATGAAAATGTAACTACCACTCTTACAGAGGGAAGAGCTTTAAATGAATGGAAAGAGAGCAAGCAACGTATCTCAAACAACAGGCACAATGCAAGGGTGAGGCTACACCACTGGATGGGACAGAGATGCCAACACCACTGAAAACGTGTGAAAAACAATTTTCAAGCGAAGCAAGCTTCACATGAGAAACAGAAAGTCTTACATAATCGTAGAAGAGACACCTAAACACATAACAAGGTGTTGGTTCCTGGCAGCTTTTCCTCACTGCTGTGGTGCCGGGGGCACTCATAGTAGTGTGGATGAGAAAACCTGCAAGGAGAGACCTCTCTGAGCAGAGCTGACCAAGGAATGCATCAGCTGGTGGGTAGAAAGATGACTGTTGAGGGGAAAAATAAAGCAGAAATTTATAGTGATTTTTTAAAACTGAAGTTATTGTGGTCAAGATTTTTCAAACCTCAGTTTTGCAATGGGATTTGCAGAGCTTCCACAGACATTTGTTCATTATGTGAAACGCAGCACTTGTCTGTAACACCTATCTGTAGTATGAGATACTGCACAGAACTTGTCTCCAAAATAATGTGTTCCTTGTTAGTGACTAATGGCTATAAAGTCTGGTGTAATAGCCTACATTAATGAGGATATTAATTATTACATTTAATAGGAATTTCTATAAAGAATTTAGAGAATGGAAATCCACATAAATGCAGCATTAAGAACTGCATGACAGGGAGAGGGCAGGTGGGTTACTGGGCTGTGAACAAAATACATCAGCTGAACTAAAGAATACTGTTAGGAAGGTAAGTTGACTGACATCTCTAATCACATCTCTACAGCAGAAAAAGGCTGTTATGATGTACATTGCAATTTATTAGCAATAATAATAATAATAAAAAAAAAAAAAAACAAACACCTTGATTTTAAGCTAGTGATATGCTTATTCATGCTCTTTCTAAAATAACTCAGGATAGCATAAGCACTGCCCTGTTAAGCCCTGAATTAGCTGTGCATCTGCACAACTTCTTTGCTTTTCAGGTTCCCACCAAAAAAGCTGCCCTGCCTCCCCCCTGCCTGGTCTGTTCTCACAGGGCACAGAGCTTCTCTGTGCAAACCAGGATTGGCACTTGCCTCCAGCTTTTCCACCCACTCCATGTCTCTACACTCATTTCTGTGAGTCCCCAGAGCGGCTCGTTATTGGTGATAACATTCACATTCAGAGCGGGACGCAGCGCTCCCCAGAGAGGTGTCTCGACTCCTCCAGGAAAGG